TAAATGGCCATTTAACCCCAGTGTACAAGTATTTACCTGTATTCAGTGCAGCATTAATCAAAGTGGAAGTAACAATACGTAACCTGAAGGGCTTTAATATTATGTAACAATATAGGTATAGTCCAACAAATACCATTTTAAAGTCACGTGATTTTTCTCTATCCTTGTTGAATACATCTCAAACAGCGGTGATAGTAAAATTGACAAAAAAATTGCTGTCTAATTATTCTTCATAATATTCTTACCTGAAATAAAATCCGTCACTGTCATCAATTAGTTTGTCAAAGTTATTTTCGAAAATAATACAACGAACAAACACAGCTAATAATTTTGACTGTATTAACCTTTGTCCAACTCGAAAAGAAGCAAATAGAAAACGGGTACCCAGTTTAAGTTGAGAATGTATTACAACAGACAGCAGATACGACAAAAGTGAGTCTCGCAACAATTGCAAGTATTAAAATTGCCCTCTGATTGGTTAATACTACTTCAGAAACGCGTTTGTAAAATGCTTGTGGGAACATATCCTAAAATTCAGTAGTAATTAATCACCAGTAGCATTTTGTAGGTGATATGAACGACATAATCAATGGACATACGTTTTTTGCCACCAGTATCACGTGACTTTAAAATGGTATTTGTCGGACTATAGTATAGATACCTTGATACCTAATAAAATTGAAGTACCTAACCATACATAACCTGGATGGCAAGTTTCATAAAAAAAAGGTGATATAGTTATAATTAATTAAAAATTGAAATAGCAACACATAATCTGAAGGATAATTTTAAGGTAGTAAATCTGCGTTGTTGTGGTGTTTTACTCCAACAAGGGGTTGGCAAGATTTGATACTAAGACAATACAACACACTTATCAAACCTGAGTAGTCCCTAAACTCTTGGGGGAAACCTGACGGATGGATCTAATATCCTCCAGTGTTTCCGATGGCCTGGGTCTGGATCAAGGCCGCAACAAGAAGCAACTGGCTCTCGGCACTAAGGCTTCCAATTGTCTAAAGGAGGCTGAAGATTGTAGGTCCTACTCGAAGTATACAGTAAGCTTAACGTATAACTCTTTACTGATAGTTAGGGACTGAAGCGTGACGAATAAAAGGGGACATCTAAGGGTAAAGTTTAAAGGCCTGAAACAAATGGACGTTATGAGACAGGGCGTGGAGCAATAGAGGTAGGTATGTCCGATATTCGGAATTTAACCGTATAATTAACAGAAAACTATGCTCTTACATAGGAACTAGAGAAACACAGAGAAGATTAATAAGAAAAACCACTTACCAAAATTACTTTTGGCCTTTAGGAACAAACAATTGACCACGTTGCTTTTTTTTCGACTCACAAAAAAAAAATCTGCACAAGGCGATTGGGTGCTAAAATAACGGATTAGCCACCCTAGATCTATGAGCGAAAACTAGACAACTCAGAAAATCGGCAAAATGTGCCTGAGGAATTTTCCCGAACACTTAATCGTGGAAAATCCTCAACCTGATTGGCCTCTGCTTGTCCCTGCAAGGTCCTTTAAAAAGTCTCTGTCAAAACTCCAAGGTGGAAGGTACTGGGGTATTTTGATGGTAGTCGGGGCATGGTACTTATTCAAGTTAAGTTAGTACTGGTCATTGACCCTATTTGGAGCGCTGTCAATCTAGACAATCTACTCCGATCAGACAATCAGCCGTTCCAGTGTAAATATTGTGATTCTGTTTTATTAATAAATTAATTGTCTATTTATTTTAACCCTACTAACAGAAAATCAATTCCATTAATAAACCTGTAACTTAATGATTCTGGGAAAAATAAAAAGTTTGATGAAAAGTTTGGCTACAACTATTGGATAGGCTTGAGGAAGGTATGCTATTCAGAGAGGTAAATAAGCTTATTTCCTTTTATTTTGGTGCGGGAAAAATCATCCCGTAACAAACATGTTACTCCTTACATTACTATAACAGTGAAATGCTCAAGATGAAAGAAAGAAGATTTTTACATTTCGCTGTTTTGACACCTTCAAAATATTATTTAGAACTCAGAATATCTCTCCGGTGAGGCTTGCTGACATTCATACCAGGTCAACGAGAAACAGATACTTTCGAATTAAATTGTACTGAATTCTTTTAATCTTCTTTCTCTAATTTGGGCCTACATGTGTACATGATACCAAAAGGAAATACAAAAAGTAGGGCCTATAAGCAAGAATTAACGAGCAAATTAATAAAATACAGAAAGTTTGAAACATGAAAAACTAATAATATTATATCTATACTATGTATCTAATAAAGGCATTACTGTTAAACATTATGTGAATGCAAATCTGTCCAGGGTAAGTAACACCCGATAAAGAAACTCTCCGTTGCGATATCGGGTGTTACATTCAAATTTGCGAACGTGAGCCAAATGGGTGTTACTTCCCTCCATGCTGCCCGCTCCTCGATTACCGGAATTAACCCGACGTATTCGAAAAATGCGGCCATTCCTCGTGCCATCGTAATGAAATTTAAAACATTTTTCAAAAAAATAATCGTGCAAACGTTCTTCTTCGAGAAGTCTCTTAGAAATGAGGACTCTTCTAGAGAATCAGGCCGTTTTTATTTTTCCAACCATATCTTTATGGTTAATAAATTTCTCTTTATTATGATTTTGGATGCTATATGTTAGCCAGCCCTGATAAGGTCGTACAGTACTCCTGTGAGTATCCGGACCTATATTACGGGATTTATTGAATTAGTGCAATCCGATCCTCATAATTTTTGGTTCTTTATGCTCCTAGTTAGGTCGAGGTTTTGACTTTATCAATGTCTTATTTATCTTTGAAAATACAGATGTGTTATATAAACCAAGATAATAACTCTATGAATAAAAGAACAGATATTCAAGACCCAAATATAATATTTTGAAATTTATTACATATAGATTTAAAAAATCGAAATAGTAACGATACTCATCCATTAAGTACTCAAATGTTCCGACTAAATTCAAATATACCATCTACCTTTTATCATTTCAACCTTTCCTTACACCCCACACTTCTGATTGGTAAATGAAATGGTACGATTTGAAGTAGCTTCGTTAACAAGTAAATAAAAAAGGGAATTTCATGCACTATCAAGCTTAACAAAAAAAATCAAATAAAAAATAAAATTAAAATCAATTTGAAACTTAATATAGAACATTCTCAAAATATTGAAAGTTCACAAAAATTCAAAAAAAAAAAAAATGTTTCGTATACAAAGTTTACTTCAGTTAGCCTTAATTCCTCCTTGTATATGTATACTAGTCTGGGAGACGACCGCATTTTTCCTACCCCGATCGAGTTGTGTCGACACTATTATCAATATATAGTATTATGTGCATCTATTAACCTGTATTCCTGCCTGAGAGCAAATGCTGCCGGAAATATCTTTTAACAAATTATTAACAAATTGAAAAAAACGTAACACTACCCCCATCAAGTTATGCCCTAAGTAGGGTATCAGATTGAAGGTCTCGATGTCCCCTATCTAAAAAGTCGATCCTGCCTCGTGAGAACTTGGAAAAGGGTGGCAGGGCGAATTTCATTGGTTGGAAACAGTCAGGAAACTAGTTTCAACCAATGAAATTCACTCCTTCTGGTTTGGGATTTCTGTGCGAAGAGACCTTAAATCAACTTATTAACACCTTTATTTACGACTAATGTATAATGTGCGTATTATCTTTGTGATTTTGGCAGTATAATGACATATATTATTCCTCCAGGGATTAATGACGAGTAGCGGGATTAATGGTCATTATTCCACAAAAGTGTCAGTGTCAAACGTGTAGTGCTTGTGGATTTGTATTGAAAATTATGAGACGGATGAAATTTGTTCATTGAAAATCTCAAATAAATTAATTTGTCGAAAATAAAGTAGAGTATACTACTCGCAATAATGGCTATTATTCCCTCGGAATGTTACTCCCTCGCCGCTAACGCGGCTCAGTTCGTAATAATCCTCAGGAATAATAGCTATCATTATTGACTCGTGGTATAATCTACTATTAATTTGACACATCAATCAGGGTAAAACTTGATAGTTGTCAAAGCTGAGACCGCGGGCCCTTGCTCCAATAAGCTGCCCTGCCACCCTTTTCCGGCAAGTTCTCACGAGGCAGGATCGACTTTTTAGAAAGGGGACATCGAGACCTTCAATCTGATACCCTAATTAGGGCATAACTCGATGGGGGTAGTGTTACGTTTTTTTCAATTTGTTAATAATTTGTTAAAAGATATTTCCGGCAGCATTTGCTCTTAGGCAGGAATACAGGTTAATAGATGCACATAATACTATATATTGATAATAGTGTCGACACATAACTCGATTGGGGTAGGAAAAATGCGGTCGTCTCCCTAACTATACCTATACCTATGTCATATGTACCGAATTTTATTTGTTGTATATCTTGAAAAACAAATATGTAGTTGTAGGAGCGACTCAGTCTTCAGGGACATACATATACCACACCTTTCAACAGAAAATAGGACTTAAACCTTAGATTGGTTAAACCTATTTATAGGATTGAATGTTAATGCTAACAGGATTTATAAAACATACCTACAATACAAAATAGTCAATGCAAATGTTTCCCAATAGTGTGTGCTTGGCTGATCCTTATCACCGTTTAGGCTGTACCCGGCATTCCCACCCAAAGTGACTCACTCTGTACATTCGACTGTTGGTACCTGTGCTTGCCCTTAATATTCTCACGAGTGAGTTTTAAAAAACTTAAACTTAAATACAATTGAGACAAATTTAAATAGACTTACTGGCCAAAAGGAGAATTGCCACCCACTGTGGGTGCTTTCTTTGCACCTATTAGGTTTAAAGTTTCAAAGAAGTTCTCGGCTCCCGTTGGTATTGGCGGTGCAGCAATCTCGTGCCTCTTTTTTGGTGGAGGGTTTTCTTTTGTAATGGAAAACGAAGAACCAGGCCTTGACATAATGGTGGCGTCGCGAACGTGAGTGACATAAGAGATACCTCAGATATATCTGATATGTTACCATCAGATAATATTTCAGGCTCTTCTCTTTCTTGACTCTCCTAAAACAAATAAATACAATTACTTAAGCATATATTGCACACATTGTTCGATTTCAATAATTTCTTGTCTTGAACGAGAATGCTGGTTAGTATAGCCTTAGTTAAATAAACCAGTGCTATGTATTTACTGGGACACTGAAACACTAGAACTTATTGAAATACTTTATTCCAAGACGGTATTTGGTGAATACAAAATTGGACAGAACGAAACTGTTTGCACTTTTTATGTCACTCTGACAAGACTATCTAAAGACAGATGATGACAGATGACCAACAATTAATTAGTGCGTTCTATAACTAATACAAGGAATCTAAGCAAGGACTTATCATTTCCTTCCTTTTTTTTTAAATCTTAATAATATAATTTCTGAGGAGGTTTAATCAGTCGTCCAAACCTAGAAGTATATCCAGAAGTCTTGCTAGAAGTTGAAGCAGTACCAAGGTCTCTTGAGAGTCTAGGAGTAGCAGTAACTTTTACTGTATGGTTGTTATCTGACTTTAGCATTTTATCAACTGTAGGACTAGTAGGACTCGCAGACTCCGGTACTTCAGCAACAGCCGGCTGACTCATTTCTATATTATTGCTTGAACAATGTTGGTTATCGTTGTTTTGACTTATTTGTGAATTTGACATAATTGGTGAAGGAGAAGGAACTATTTCATACGACATCATTTTAGAAGAATCTGCTTTACATTGCCGAATGTCATTCGAATGAAAAAGCCTAATAACTTCTCCAATTTTAACTAAATAAGTACAGTAACTCATACATCTTATAATTTTACCTTTTTGCCACAAGTGAGTGTACTTATTTTTTACATAGACATCTTGGTTTTCACAATACAATTTTAAGCTAGTAATATCAGAATTTACAGGTTTCTGTTTATTAGACCAAGGTTTCAACAAATCGTATCAAGTACGAGGGCGAAACTTAAAAACAGATTCTGCAGGAGACAAGCCAGTCGACGTAGAGGGTGTATTACGATGTACAAATAAAAAGTTTTCCAATTTATTCAAAATTGAATTTTTGCTCAACTCTTTTTCCCTCTCTCTAAATAAGGAGCGTACCAAACCTCTTTTTATGGTTTGTACATTTTTCTCGCCAAGACCGTTACTTTCAGGATGCTGTGGTGGAATTCGTATAAACTTTATTCCATTTTCCTGACAAAAAGTAGTGAATTCATAACTATTGAATGGAGGTCCATTATCCGATACAAGTTCAGCAGGCAAACCGAATACTGAAAAAATTTGTTTGAGAGTCAAGATAGTTTCCCTTACGTTAGTACCATTATTCATAAGTTTCACTTCAGTCCATTTAGACTTGTCATCCACTAAGATCAAGAAAACCAAATTAAATTTCTTAAAAAAATCTATATGGACCCTATAAAAATTATTAGGAGCACAAGGCCAAGGAACAAGTATACCTCCATTTGTAAAATTTTGAGTTTCTTGACATGTTTCACGAGAGCTTATAAAAGCTTCAATAGCCTCATTCATACTTGGCCACCAACAATAGGATCGCATAAGCATCTTTGTTCTAACGATGCCAATATGTTCTTCGTGAAATAATTTTAAAATATCATTTTGAAGCTGTTTTGGTATGACTACCTTACTTCCAACTAATAAGCATCCTCCCTCTATAGAAAATTGACGTTTTCAATTAAAAGAGATGGACGATAAAGTATGAAAACATTCAGATTCCCGCCAACATTTGCTTGCTCGTCAATGTCAAGTGTATAGGGTGTTTAGCAATCCCCTGGTTTTTATTCTAATCGGTGACTCCACCGATGAGTTAGGTATCTTTGTTCAGTGAATGGAAAATGACAATGACCGACATAGAATGGTGAAATTTGAAATTGGAAAGAAAATGTGGGAAGCAAACAGCTTCCGCAAACTAAACTTGAATGTGGATATCTTTGTATACTTGATGGGTCGTGGATTTCCCTTACTTTTGCGAGTATCAGTTCTGATTTTGTGTATCCAAATTTTGACAAATGTAGGATTTGATGAAAACTTATGGAAAGACACGTCCGCCGGTGAATAGGAATTATTTTCACGAAAAGGCACACTACACACAATCACCATTGTTAGGAAAAAACCTTGAAAAAACCGAGGAAATAATAGTTTCCAGTCTCACACGTATAAAACTCTTGTCAACAAACCATTGTCAATAGCTGTCAATCATTGTTTTCATACTTTTCATACTCTTTTGGCATCTGACAGTCTGACGCCAGAGAGAGAGGCTTCTAAATTGAAAAGGTCAATTCCAATCGTCTTTTAAAATAGGGTTTTAAATTTTCATCTTTAATACAATTTGGCCATCCAGAAAGAGTAAGGTCAATAACCTTGGAAAGAGTGATATCCTTCTTTGTAGCTAATGCAATATTTTCAAACGACAAAGGTACATCATAGCACAAACTAAATGAGAAAAGCGAATCTGAAACTCCAGTTGAAGAATTCATTTGATTCATTTGATATTAAAGAACCCTTTTTATAAGTAATGTCATAATCATAAGCAGACAGTATTAGTGCCCATCGAGTTATACGAGATGCAGCTGTAACCGGAATATTTTTATTTTTACCAAAAATGAATTGAAGAGGTTGGTGATCCGATACTAGTGTAAACTTTCGACCATATATATACTTGTGAAATTTTTTTAAACTGAAAATTATGGCCAAACTTTCACGCTCTAAATTTGAGTATTTTTTTTCATTTTCTGATAAAGTGCTAGAGGCAAATAATACTGGTCTTTCAACTCCCTTAATTTTATGGCTAAGCACTGCACCCACTCCATAGCCACTTGAATCGCAAGTAATAAAAATAGGCTTTTCTGGATCCTAGTGAGCTAAGAAATTTTTAGAGGTAATCATTTTTTTACTTTCTTGAAACGTTTGCTCACACTCATCTGTCCAACAGAAATCAGTGTTACCTTTGCACAAATCATATAAAGGTTTGAGCTTGGCAGATAGCATGTGAATAAACCTTCCATAGTAATTTAACAATCCCAAGTAGGATTTTAACTCTGTCACGTTTTGAGGTGAAGGTGCTTTACTTATACACTCTATTTTCTTGTCTGTAGGATGGATGCCCTTATTATCTATTTGATGACCTAAAAATACAACAGAGTGTTCAAAGAACTTACATTTGTTCTTATTAATTTTAACGTTAAACTTTTTTAATCTTTTTAAAACATTTTTAAGATTTTCATTACATTCTTCCATGGTTTCTCCATGAACCAAAATGTCATCAAGATAACACTTAGTTTTAGATAAACCAGCCAAAATTGCATCCATTATACATTGAAAAATACTTGGAGCGGAACTAACTCCGTATGTTAGTCTATTAAATCTGAAAAGACCCATATGGCTGTTTATCGTGAAAAGTTCTTTTGAAGAATCACTTATTTGTAATTGCTGATACACCCTTTAGATCTATAACAGAAAAACAGTTACCTCCATTCAAACTAGCAAAAATATCGGTTGGCAAAGGCAAAACACAATGCTCAGTATCAATAGCCCGATTTAATGTTTTTTTAAAATCCACACATAGCCTAATATCAGTAGAATTTTTTTTTTTGAACTACAATAATGGGACTTGCCCATTTGCTGTGTGTCACTTTCGTTAAAATACCAGATTCAACCATTTTTGAAATTTCTTCCTCTACTTTAGATTTTAGTGAAAAAGGCATTTCAATGCTCTATGAAATATTGGTTTGAAACCATCTTTGACTTTAAACTCTGCCTTGAACCCCCTGATAAACGAATTAGGTTCATCTTTAAACAAACTTTCATACTCAGATTTTATCAAATTAATCAATGTAATTTTGACATCTTCTGACATGAATTGAAATATTTGACCATCAACTGACCATCAACACTTTCATCCAGAACATTATTTTTCCAATCAAGATTGAGCACATTCAACCAATTTCGACCCAAAAGGGGTACAAATGATACTTCAGAATTAAGTACTACCAATGGTAAACAAAACATTTTACGCAAATACGCAACATGCACCCAAACTTGACCCAGAATCTCAGCTTTTTGACCAGTTAAAACTCTTAACTTAAAATCTACAGGCTCAAGAACTAAATTTCGAAATAATTTCTCAAAATCCTGTCGATGCATAACTGACCGAACAGCCCCTGAGTCTACTTCCATCTCTACATTCTTATTGTCAATAATCATATTGACCCTTAGCGTATCGTTACCATTAGACTTTAAAGACTTGATAGTAAACTCACCCATATCCTCGGATAACAAACCTAACTCAAAGCCATCTTCGGACTCTTCTGACTCGACATCAACGTCTTTTTGTTCCTCTTCAAACTCGTAAACTCTGTTTTTACACATTATAGACTTGGCAGTATGCCCTACCTGGTTACATGAATAACACTTCCAGGACACTGCTAGACACTTACTATAGTCAAAATGAACACGATTACATCTTCTACACTTAGAATTTTTATTATTGGCCTGTGACCTCGACTGTGACATAGTCGCACCTGACTGATTACTGGACTTATGGAAATGACTTGAGTTTGACTTACTAGGACCACGACTAGATCCTGCTTTTGCATAATACTTTTTCTGACAGTTTACGTTTTTATAGACTCCGACCTGATTCCGCACACAAACCGATCCCTTAGAGCCTCGTTTTGAAAATTTTGAAACTCACATGACTTGGCTAAATTCTTCAGACGCACAACGAATGTCTGTATATCTTCATTTGCTTCTTGAAATGCTGTATGAAATTTGAATCTCTCGGCAATTATCAAGCGCTTAGGACTGTAATGTTGCTTTAACTCAGTGACCAATGCTTCATATCCCTTTGAACTTGGCAAGGTAGGCGCTAACAGGTCCTTCAATATACCATAGGCCTCCCCCCCTATCAAAGTTAAAAACAAGGGTACCTTTTTTTCTTCCAGTGTGATATCATTACACTTAAAAAGTTGTTCTAACCTCTCAATGTAGGTGGTGATATCGCTTACTTTTGGATTGA